GGAATGCGGGGGACTGGAGAGATGGCTCAGATGAATAAGCACTCGCCTGGCAAGTGCAAGGACCTAAGTTCAATCCCCGGTTCCTCCAAAAACTAAAATAAATAGAATGCTTAAAACATAAATGGAATCTGTGAGTTCAGATAAATTAATAAATTGGAAAATATTAGAGAGAGAGAGAGAGAAATATGAAGACATATTCTCTCCATTTTAGGACTAATCATTTTGATTATAAATAAGATGCTCACATTTACCTAAACACTAAATGTTGAAGAATTCTGATGGCACCTGATAAAATTTTCCTCTGTCTACTCACCAACAGGAGACATCTCTGGGACACTTGCAACGTAAGGACCGTCCAAAAACTTTGGCTCATTATCATTAATATCCTGCACTTTGATGATAAATTCTGATTCAGGTTCCAGGGGCTTCTTGGTTTCTATGTCCACAGCCTGAGCACGAAGGGTGTAAAAAGGTTTCTCTTCTCTGTCCAGGCTCCTTATTGCATGAATGTCCCCTGTGGTCTCATCAATTGTAAAGACAGTGCCGGCACCATCACCTGAGAGGGTGTACTTAACCGTACCCTCTCCCTTGTCCAAGTCAGAATGGAGCTTTGTGGGAGAGACACAAGAAAAGGAGGGAGGATGGAGGGAGGATGGAGGGAGGGAAGGAGAGAGAGGGAGGAAGGGAGAGAGAGAGAATTTTAAAAATGTTGAGATATTAAAATTCATATATTTACATTAAATTTCTTTAATCAAAATGTTAAAAGTTCAGGAAAACTCTATCATCCTTTTCTTTTTTCCCTGCAAAGTTTTGATTATAAACACTTTAATCCTCTCAAAAATTTGGGAAAAAAAAACCCGTGTAATAAAGAGTACATATGCGAAATCTCCATTAGATATTCTACATTCATCTGTCACTTTAGTTGCCTTTTTATATGACTGAATCATGTATTGATCCTTTTCCCAGTCCATCTTACTTTTTTAACATTATGAAAATCAGAACAGAAGTTCACTGCGAAATATATCAACAACCTTGTTGTTTAGTTCCTTTGTGCTATTTATCTATAAAATCTGCACAGTACTGAATTTAAAAATCTCAACAATGAGTAGTGTTTCATTTTAAAATATTACTTGAGGGCTGGCCAGATAGCTCAATGGAGTAAAGCGCCTGCAAGCAGGCTTAGGGGCCAGGTGTTTCATCTCTGGGCCTGCTGTGCCTGCCCTGCCCCTGGGGTGCACCAAGATAGAGACTGGACATGGTGACCTGCGCCTGTAATCCCAGCTCTTGGGAGGCTGTAAACAGGTGGATCACTATGAGTCAGATCTATTAGTGAGACCTTGGACACCCTGTAGATCCTTCCATAAAATATAAATAAGTAAATAAAATATTGTTTAAAAATAATTTAGCTCAGAAATACTAAGTCAGAAGGCCTCCAAATGACCTGCATATAGAAATAAATGTGCTGAGTTTAGAAGAAAATAAAATCAGAAAACACTGATTCTTTTTCTCTGAACAAAAATTAATCAATTACATATGGTACAGTGGGGTATATGGTTGGGTTTATATCCCAAGTTTAATTCATTCTGCATTTCTGGGAAGATGGCTGCGTGGCTGTCTCTGCAGACATGGTCACCTGGGTATTCTTCATACTACCTAGACTTTGAAAGCAGAAATGAAAGTTTGCCAAGTGCTTCCATTTGCTAACCTCATTGCTCACCCACAGAAGCGTTTGTGCCACGAGGCATCAGCATAGCTCATTTTAACTGAGTTTGATGGATTCCTTACATTAATCAAATTATTGGTAGAATCACAGATTATTCTTTCAAACTCACAAAGAATTTTGAGTTTATTCCAAATGTAAAATATTTGTTCTGGGCTGGCCAAATAGCTCAGCAGATTAAAGCCCCCTTAGACACAGGGGCCGGAGTTCGATCCTTGGTCCTGCGGCGTTGGCCCTGCCCCGGAGGCGTGCTGAGATGGTAACTGAGACTGAGCGTGGTGGTGTGTGCTGTAATCCCAGGACCTGGGAGGATGTAAACAGGCAGGTCACTATGAGTCTGATCTACAGTGAGACGCTGTACATCCTGTATGCCCTATCTTAAAAATACTATATTTATTTCGGGGTCTCTCTATGCAGTTT